ATAGAACTACATTATTTAGGCTAAATATTTTTATTTTGCCAAAAATAATAAAGTTTTAGCTAACTCTTTTTTTTGAATTTAACCTGAAAATAAATATTTATACAATTAAAATAAATAGTCAAGTCGTCTAAAAAGTTATAAAAAATATATAGTTTGAAATTAATTATTTTGGCTATAATTTTTTATATAGCTCTAAATTACGGTGCTATATATATATATTTATATTTACAGATTTTACCTAAAAAAAGTAAAAATACACAGTTGAAAAGAGAGAGAAGGGGGAAGCTTAGTCTAATTGTCCGAAGTGATTCTTTCTTGATTCGATGTCAGCTTTCTCTTAATTTGTATCGTGCACTTACATACAAATTTATAGGTAGTTCATAAATAGTCATTGCATCAAGGAAGAAATAAAGAGTGTACAATTGCAGTATAATGCAAGTGATTCGTTTTATTTCTTGTAATTTTACACTCTTTTTATTTCTTCTTTTGATGCAATGACTATTTATTTCAACTTTGTATTTTTACTTTTTTAGGTAAAATCTGTGAAAAAAATATTTTTAGAGTACCGTAATTTAGATTTATATAAAAAATTACAGCCAAAATAATTAATTTCAAACTATATATTTTTTATAACTTTTTAGATGCCTTGACTATTTATTTCAACTTTGTATTTTTACTTTTTTAGGTAAAATCTGTGAAAAAAATATTTTTAGAGTACCGTAATTTAGATTTATATAAAAAATTACAGCCAAAATAATTAATTTCAAACTATATATTTTTTATAACTTTTTAGATGCCTTGACTATTTATTTCAATTGTATAAATCTTTATTTTCAGGTCAAATTCGAAAAATGATTAATTAAAACTTTATTTTTTGGCCAAATAAAAATATTTAACCTAAATAATATAGTTTATCCAAGTTTTATTATAAATTGTATTCGAAAAAAATTATATAAAAAAGTAATATTCTTAAAAAGGTAAAAATATATTTTATTTTTTAAAAAAAAAATGCCACATATACAGAAAAACTCACGTGGCAGGCGAGTGCACCCACATTTTTTGCCATATCAGCATCTAGGGGGTAATGCCTCTCAAAAGGCCAAGTTGAGGGGGGTAATTAAGACCAGGCATAGTTCGGGGAGGATACTAATAATCTGAGCCAAGTTTAGGGGTGGTTTAAGGTATTTTGCCTTACTATATTACATAATACAACACAAATACAAGATGCTTAAGTAAAATTTTGATTCTTGAGACAGAGATTTGCAGTAAAATCGGAGTATTGTTTTACCTATTATTTCTCTTTCTAATCACCTAATCTGAATCATCGTCACTTTTTTTTTTTTTTAATTTATTACTATTAAAGAACATAGTGAATACTCCCAAATCAACCTTTTAAAGCAAATGCGATACTATTGCTCCTTATATTAAACTTTGGTTAATTTACTTGTTCGATATTAAGTGGAATGTTCTAACTTTTAAGGAGTGATTTGATACGATAAATAAGCTAAAATAATTATAGGATAAAAATTTAGTATTGCATTATTTCTTACTAATTCCGGATAAATTATCCTGTGATTAAAAATAATATCGGGATAACTTATACTCCCCCATTCCACTTTAATTGATTTTTTGGATGTTTTCACGCATATTAAGAAATCCACATTTTAGAATTAACTAACAATGAAATTGACTATTAACCTTTATTTGTTCATTGAAACTATAACACATGTTCATAGGCTTTTTACTCAAAGGGCAACTTTGAAAACAAAATTAATTCCTTCTTGAAATTTGAAAAAATCAAATAGTGTAAACCACAAAAAAAGGCAAAAAAAATCAATTAAAATGGGTCGGATGGAGTACCTGCCAAAGGATGAAATAATTATCACATAATATGTTATCTCGGGATAAATCAGTAAAATTGATAATCCCAAAATAATACAACATACTCTTGTTCTTTCAATTTAAATGACACACTTTCTTTACTAGTCTATTCTAAAAAGAATGACACATTTTTATATTTAGAAATATTTTAATTTTAAACTTTTTATTTTACTCCTTTACCCTTAGTGATAAGCTTTTATAATCATATAAATATCATGATCTCACGAAGCTTTTGTCCCTTAAGCTTTTTGGATCACATATTTCGAAAGTCTTATTTGTTTTTTTCTTAAGCTTTGTGCCAAATCAAACTACACTATCCAAATTGAAATGAAGGGAGTACCAAACAGTAATAATACCAAGATAATTAATTCAAGCGTAACTAATCTCCGTATAAGTTATAATTATTTTAAGTATAATTAATTCTAGTATAACTTGCCTTCAAACCAAACGAATATTGAGTCTCTAATGCTAAGGTCTATTTCTCATATTTCTATTTTTTTTATCTTCCGTTGATAATTCATCGAGTCCATTACTCAAATGGTCACTCAACTATCCCAAATTATTTCCTAAAGTCACTTTTCTTTCGTTTGTAACAACAAAGTCACTAAACTATGCATATTGCACCCAGAAGGTCACTCAACTAGATTTTTCAAATTTTAGATTACTAAATACCTATTTTACCCTCTAAATTTTAAACATTTATTTTCGTTTTATTTTTTTAAAACTTTTTAATATTATGATTTTTTTTCCTTTTTAATTTATATTATGGACTTACCTATAGAATAAATAAATTTTATTTATCAATTAAAAAATAAAAAGTATTTAAGCATATATAATGCTGGAATAACAAAATAATGAGCATAGTAAAAAAATAATTAGTATAATTTTTTTAGTAATAATAATTTTAATATTAACAAAAAAATTTCAAAAATTTATTTACACAATTCAAAATGAAAGAAAATAAAGGTTGTAAAATATATATTTCATGCACATAACATAAATATAATTATTTAAATAAAGGTAATTTTATAATATACATTATTTATTCTTGAAAATTCTACTCAATTATATAATTATATTTCATGCACGGCTTAACATATCATATTTTACCCTATACAGATAGTCTCCCTCTTTTTCCGGTGACATAACTTTGTGTCGTCGCAAAGTTGGTAGAAACATAATAATATAATTGAGCATAATTTTCAAGAATATATAATGTATATTATATAAATACTTTTATTTAAATAATTATTTTTACATTACGTGGATGAAATATATATTTTACAACCTTTAATTTCTTTCATTTTGAATTGTTTGTGTAAAAACATTTTTGAATTTTTGTTGTTAATGCTAAAATTATTATTATAAAAAAATTATTCTAATTAATTTTTTGACTATGCTCATTATTTTGTTATTCCAGCATTATAGATGTTTAAATATTTTTTATATTTTTAATTTATAATAATATTTATTTATTCTACAGATCAGTCCATAATATAAATTAAAAAGAAAAATTCATAATATTAAAAAGTTTAAAAAAATAAAAGAAGATAAATATTTATAATTTAGAGGTTAAAATAGGTATTTAGCAATCCAAAATTTGAAAAATACCTTCTAAGTGCAATAGGCATAGTTCAGTAACGTTGTTGTTACAAGAAAAGTGACTTTAGGAAATAATTTGGGATAGTTGCGTGACCATTTAAGCAATTGACTCTAATTCACCCAGGGGTGGATTTAGGAGAGCGCAAAGGGGTTCATCCCCTTCGCCGAAAAATTACACTGTATATATAAGGCAAAATTTATTTTTTACCTCTATATATTAAGTTTTGAACCCCTTTAACACAATCCAAAAATGTAGTTTAGTGGTCAAGGGGGTTCAAAATCTACATAAGGTCATGGGTTCAATTCCCACTAGCTACAAAAAAAAAATTTAACCCTCTTCGTGGAGATCCTGCATCCGCCGCTGAATTCACCCACCTCTACATCTTTGAGAAATTTTATTTCAAATAAATAAAGGAAGACACACTCTTATCTTTACTCCCAATTATATCTGATTGTCCATTTACGTGTAAGTAATAATGAAACCCATTTACTCTTATTTGTTTTAAGTTGAGATTTCAATACCCAAAATTTCAAAATATCATTATCACTACTTTAACCTTCAAACTAAACGACTTATTTTTATTTGTACACTTACAATGTAATACAATTTATTTAATATGCCAGTTTATACAAGTACAAATGATTTTTTACAATGTATTTGGCTAAGCTTATAAGCTATTATAAACGGGCTTACAAGCACCTTTCAACTTATTTACCCGTTTGATAAACACTCAAAGTACTTATAAGTCAAGTGCTAATAAGATAATAATATTTATGACTTTTCAGATTATAAGTACTTTTAACTTGACAAAGGCTTTTACTGATTTATCCCTAATAGTAATATTTTTTAATTCATAAAATGCTTTTTGAAAATAAATTTTCTAACTTTCTCTTCATTCTATATTCGTTATTAATCCTTTTCTTTATATATTTTTTAATAGTTATAATCATTTGTAAAAATATTAAGGTTATTTTAGCTATTTTACCAAAATAACAACTTATCAACACTTTTTTACCAGATACATCAACTGCTTATTATCAATTTCAACACTTATATCCAAACACGTAAATATTTATTTAAAAAATTAATTTTAACACTTAAAAGTATTTTTCAGCACTTCAAGTGTATCAACTATTTACAATCAGCTAATCCAAATGACTTTAAATATTACAATCATTATGATAAAACTAATAATAAAAGAGCAATTATACTATCATACCTCATTAGATTGCTAGATTTCATTTTATCACCATCTCTAATGTAAAAATTAAATTTTAACTCTATCTAACGGTTAAAACTAAGACTCTAATCAATTAACAAAGAAAATCTAAAAGAGCAGTCAAAACCTTTGGAGTATAGAGTGTAAACGCTCACACATGAGTCTTCTCTAGCCGGTAACAAACTTTATCTCCTCAATTATTATATCTCTCCCCAAAAAAAATAAAATCAACTACTATCATTATCATTATATTTATATATATAGAAAAGCTATATATATAAAGCAATACATATACACAAAACACACACACACAGAGTGAGAGAAAAAGAGTAGAAAACCAACTCAGATTCTTCTATAAAACTTTGAGAGCGTATTTCTCGTGATTAGTAGTCCCCCAAAAAATGCTTTATAGGGTGGCAGCCTAAGTACCTATACAACACACACACACACACACAGAGGGTATGCAAAACCCACCTGCTGTCTGAACATAAACACCTGGGACCAGCCCCCCATTTTCTCCTTTTGATTCATAATTATTTATATATATCACACAAAAGAAACAGAAAAAGAGTCCATTTTCTTGATTTTGAGAGGAAAAAAAATCAAAAATTTTAAGGGAAAATGATGTGGGAAGGTGGAGGGTCGCCGGCGACATCATCTGCCGGCGGCGGTGGAGCTGGAGGGGCGATGGGAAGTAGTAGTAGTGGGAGGAGGAAGCCATCTTGGAGAGAAAGAGAGAATAATAGGAGAAGAGAGAGGAGGAGAAGAGCAATAGCAGCTAAAATATATGCAGGATTAAGAGCACAAGGGAATTATAATTTGCCTAAACACTGTGATAATAATGAAGTTCTTAAAGCTCTTTGTGCTGAAGCTGGTTGGATCGTTGAACCTGATGGCACTACTTATCGCAAGGTTTTAAATTTATTTATTTTTTTAAAATTTACTTTCCTCTTTTGTTTGCTTTCTCTTTGTGTTTGTCTTAGTTTTTGCTTACTTTGACTTAATGGGGTGGTGGGTTTGGATTTTGATTAGATCTATAGATTTGGAAAATGGGGTTGCTTTATTTGGGATCAAGATTGGATTTTTAAATCTATTTTTGGTGGATTTTGACTGTTTAGGGTTTCTGATCTGGGAAATTGAGTTTGAGCAGCTTCTGATTTTCTGTTTCAGTCTTACCTTTTTATGTATCTTAATTCTTAGTTAATTTTTTAAGTTGCTACTCAGCTGGATTTGCTCACTTCCTTTGTTTTTCTTATCATTGTAACCTGTTCATGTTCTCAAATACTGTCTGTTTAAAGAAATTAGTATGATCCTGTAAAATAATTTGTTATAGAATGGAGATTGTTTCTGAAATTTGCCAGATTCCAAGCTCTAATGTGGTGAAATTTTCTTCTTTGTCGCGAATTGAAGAGCCTTCTGTGTTAGCAAATTGGTCTTTGAAACTCACATTCATGGAACTTCTTCTGTCTTTATGCCTTCTTGTCTTTATGCCTTCTGAGCCGAGGGTCTATCGGAAACGGCCTCTCTGCCTTCTTAAAGGCATGGGTAAGGTCTGCGTACACACTACCCTTCCCAGACCCCACTTGTGGGATTACACTGGGTTTTTGTTGTTGTTGTTATCTATCTTAACTGTTTGATTCTTGGTCTGAACTCAAAGAAATAAGACAACAATTTAGGTGAGTACAATTGTGTCTGGGAATTAGTATCTCCTCCTACATGGCAAGTGTTAGTAGTAATTTCTTAGCTAACCTTTAATCATTTATGTTCTATAATTTGATTGAAAATTTTCTTCTTTTAATATGTTTCAGGGATGCAGCAGGCCAACTCCAATGGAAATTGGAGGCACTTCAGCCAACATTACACCAAGTTCTTCACGACATCCAAGTCCTCCGTCTTCATACTTCGCTAGCCCAATTCCATCTTATCAACCCAGTCCAACGTCCTCGTCTTTCCCAAGTCCATCTCGTGGTGATGCTAACATGTCGTCCCATCCTTTTGCATTTCTCCATAGTTCCATTCCGTCATCACTACCTCCACTACGAATATCAAACAGTGCCCCTGTAACACCACCTCTTTCATCACCTACTAGACTCCCTAAGCAGACGTTTAATTTGGAAACTTTGGCCAGAGAATCAATGTCTGCTTTAAATATCCCTTTCTTTGCTGCTTCTGCCCCAACAAGTCCAACTCGGGGTCAGCGATTCACTCCTGCCACTATACCAGAATGCGACGAATCTGATTCGTCCACTATTGATTCTGGCCAGTGGATGAGCTTTCAAAAGTATGCAACCAATGGTGTCCCTACTTCTCCGACTTTTAATCTTATTAAACCTGCAGCTCAGAGAATCCCTTCTAATGATATGATCATCGATAAGGGTAAGAGCGTAGAGTTTGACTTTGAGAATGTATCAGTGAAGGCGGCATGGGAAGGAGAAAAGATTCATGAGGTTGGTTTAGATGATCTGGAGCTCACTCTCGGAAGTGGGAGCGGTCGCATGTGATTATCTTGATTAAAAGGAACTGCTTCGCGTGGATACAGATTGAGATTATCTGAATGCTAGCTGATGAAGCACTCAGCAGTCCAACGAATGTTCATATATTGTCTGCAATTTATGTTACAGAGATGAAGTTGGCGAAAAGTAGATCTTGCATTGTAATGCATCTTAGGATGGATTTGATTCTCTGTTGCTGTTGCTGTTGCTGTTTACCTTATTATACAACATTTTTATGTTTGTTTTCTTAATCTGAGAAGGCCACTTAAGTTTATTTGGGTCTTTTCACAAGCATTTTAGGTGTAGATGGTGGTTTCTATCTCCTTGAGGTTGAGAATCGTTTTCGTCGTTGTAGACTAGCAGGAGCTCTCCACAAACCTGAACTATCCACAATTTTTTCTTGATTATAGTAGATCTCTTTGTTGCTGTGCTACTGGATTCTTCTTTTATGATTAAATTGATGTACTATTCTTTATCTCTTTGATGTTTTTATGTCCAAATTAAACTATTAAGCTCATTAAAGTCCCCACAACCTGTTTTCTCCACCACATTATGGCCTTGTCTTTGTTTCTGAGTTCTATATTTTGTTCTCATTGGAGATGTTCTTTGCTTATTTTAGTTGGCCTATAGCATGATTGCAAGGGCTATTCAAATTGTGTCTATACCATTTTAGTTTTATCGGATAAGAGACAGCTGTAACTTATGGTAACTCTGCTCACCAAGGCTGAGTCAGATTAGAAGTCACAACAAAATTTGTTTCTATTGAGATTTGAACTCCAGTTTTCTTGAGTTTTTATCCCTACTTTTATTGGCTGTTAGACTGCACCTTCGTCCCTCGTCTCTCCATAAGGATGGTCTACAACAAAATGGATGTCAAGAAGTTTGAAGGGTTTGATTGGTAACTCTACCCATCAAAGCTGAGTCGGATGAGAAGTTGCAACAAAATTTGTTTCTATTGAGATTTGAACTTTAATTTTTTCAAGTTTTACCTCTACTTTATTGACCGTTAAACCACGCCTCTTCGTAAGGATGGTGTATAACAAGATGGATGTCAAGAAGTTTAAAGTCTATGACCATCAAATCAAAATTCTTGATTTTTCTTTATTTCTCTATGGCCCCATTAGTAAACTACTTACTTAAAAATCATGGCATGTTCATGCACACGTTTGTTAGCAACACAAGGACAGACAAAGAAGAAAAAGATTAAACAAATGGTTGCTTAACCGATTTAATGTACAAGACCACGACTTGATGTCTGAATGTGGGGTTCTGTACTACTGTATAACACATGTTCTCCTACAGTTGCCTTATCATTATTTTTCTCATACGCGGTTTTTTTCCACATGTCTTGCTTGCTCCTATCTTTTTGCTCTTTTGCCCCTATTTAGCAAAATCAAGATAGAAGACAGACAATATTCTCAAACATGTGGTTATGTCAAACAGTTTTCAAACAACATCAATTATGGAATATGCATATATATATGCAAAGCTCATGGATTTTATTGCATCCAAACTTGTAGACACTGCCAACGGGGTCCAGCATAAAGAAACTGAAATATCTCTGAAGGGAAGAGTTCCTCAACAACAACAACAACGACCCAGTATAATCCCACAAGCGGGGTCTGGGGAGGGTAATATGTACGCAGACCTTACCCCTACCCTGAAGGGTAGAGAGGCTGTTTCCAGGAGACCCTCGGCTCAAAAAGAAAAACAACAGGAGCCGATATATTAGTACCATAAAAATGCATAATAAAATAACAGCAATATAAGATATATGAAATACAGAATACGAAATACGAAATAGATGGCTGGTATAGTAAAACTAGCAGGTAAAGCCCTGCATCAATAAACGACCAATGACATTCTTAGTCTAACTCCTAACTGGCTAGTCTCACTCTATTGTGTTGTAGAAATATTCACAAGTTTCCCCTAACCTACAACCTTAATGCTCGACCTCCATAATTCCCTGTCAAGGGCCATGTCCTCAGTAATCCTAAGTCGCGCCATGTCCTGTCTGATCACCTCTCCCCAATACTTCTTAGGTCGCCCTCTACCTCTCCGCGTGCCCACTACAGCCAGTCGCTCACACCTCCTCACCGGTGCATCAGTGCTCCTCCTCTGAATGTGCCTGAACCATCTGAGTCTTACTTCCCGCATCTTGTCCTCCATGGGGGCCACGCCCACCTTCTCTCGAATATCTTCATTCCTAATCTTATTGAGAAGGGAAGAGTTCCTCATGGGTTAAAATTAACTTTTTCGTCCACTTTATAAGTATCTTTTTATTGAGCTAGTAAAAACTAAAAAGTTAGTAAATAAGTTGGCTCACACACAAAAGAATTGAGCCGAAGGGAAAACATGGTGAATTTGCCCCATACACGCGAGATAGACATGAGCCTCAGAGACGGAACCAGAATTTCAAACTTATGGGTTTTGGATGCTAAACCTTTTAACTTATGAAAATTTTTGGACAAATACATGATTCGAACCAAGCTACTGGGTTCGGCCGAACCCATAGCCGACACTGTGGCTCCGCCTCTGAATTGAGGCCCAATCTACCTCAAGCTTCACTGATTATTGCAATCTCCGAAGACAAATGGCTGAGCCAAAATGGGAGGCCTTATAAAGAAATATTTACTAGCATCATCAAATCTTGGAAATTAGCAGACACCATAGTAGTATAGATACAAATACAACCTTCCCTTCATAAATCACAAATACAAAAGTTAGAAAGTTTCTAAATACACACTTGGCAAAGCTGAAAAGACTATAAATCACACTAACACTCATGTAACTAGACTCCTGTTGGTTAAATGTATGTCAAGACGATTAGTAATACAAATCCACAGAGGATATATCAGCTATGTCAAACTCAAATGGTCATGAATTGAGTGGTCTCAGCAGGGTCCCCTTGTATGTCTATTTTTACTAACTTCGTTTGTGACTGCTGTTTGCCATTATTGTTGTTGTTACATTCATTGTATCTGAAGCATGTAATGAGATGATCATTAACTATACCCGCAACTTGCATGAATGAATACACAACTGTTGGTCCCACGCAAAGAAAGCCTCTTTTCATCAAGTCCTTACTCATAAGTTCTGATTTTGGTGTTTTAGCCGGTACTTGACGCGCGTAGCGAAATCCACTTTTTATTGGCTTTTGATTTACAAAGCGCCAGCAATAGTTGCTAAAGGAACCAAACTCCTGCTGAATCTGCAACACAGGAAGATATTTGACAGCAGCATCAGTGAGCATACACCAGATAGGCAACGGATCGAGGAAAAGTTGACATGTACATACAAAGATATTTTATTGTTTGTTTTAGTGGAAAAATTAACAACTCTGAAGTTCAATTTACTCTTGGTGTGTTTTTGGACTATATAGTAAAACTTGACTTGTTATTCCTTCTAAATACATAAAAAAATAATCACTTGAATGAAGTTACGTATGCGTTAAATCATGAATCTGTTAACATAGATTTCACTCTACTCTGGGAGGTGAGAAGCATGTCAACCTCTATATTTGAAAGAGCAAAGCAGTTTAAGATCAGTTTTGCAATTCCAGATCTAAGGTATACGATAAAAGTTCTCTTTACCTTCTGGAACTGCTTTGCGTTCTCTATGATTGCACGTATCTTTGGTTCAGATAGCAATGATTTTCCACTTTCTGTTAGCGACCGCAACTTTTTTTCATTAACATTTGCAAGAGATGATGGATCAAAGTTGTCAAACATCTTCCTGAAAGATGCAATCATAAGTTATTTCACACATATGGACATAAAGACATTTACTTTTGAAGCTTGGAGAGATGATCTTTAATGGTGAACCTGAATACATGTCTCTTATTAAGGATTGCAGGCCAGGTCATTTCTGCCAATGCTTGTGATAGGGCAAGTAGTTCATATAGCTTTGTATCATCATAAGCTGGGTTTCCATATTCTTCGTCATGGAAAGAAATATACAGGGGTTCTGCAAAACAGAATAACAGAATTAGATTACTGCAGGTTGATTAATCATTCCTTCCTTCCGATGGAAGGCGGAATTTGGTCCAATAAAATAATCTCCTTAAGAATTACTGCAATAGTGTCTCGACAAAACTAGAGGTCATGATACAGTAGTTTTGCAGTCTAACTGTTTTAGTCATTCTCCATTTCAGAAAGTTGGACAACTTCAAGTATTCACTAATTAGATCGATTAAGCTTCTACTGCTTGCTTGAAGAGGAAAAATGTGAATCTGAATAGACCAATTAATAGCTAAAATCATCATTGAATTGGAAGGTCTTGCCGGAAAAAATATTTGCAGATAAGATCTATCACATAGAAAGAAAAACAAACGAGAGAAGAAATTGTTTCCAATTAACTATATGCACTAATTATGGCCAAGACAACTCATATTAAGCGTCTTAAAAATACTAAAAATCCCTTAATGTCTCACTAGATTCACTAACACATCAGGTTCGGCTGTCAATCTACAATAGAGTTCCAAGATATAGATAGGAAAACTTCTGGTAATTTACAACTTCAATCCATGTAAGGTTCTCACTAACCGAAAAGGATAATAAGGTCCTACCCGTTCTCTGATGGTTTGCTCGTCCCCATGCCTTGCCATAGAGCGAAGCACATCCTTGATGTCCTTTTTAGACTAAACAACACCACCAACAACTGTGCCTCAATTTAAGCAAGTTGGGATTGGCTATATGAATCATCATAAAACATGTCGCTCCATTTAAGCTCATCTTAGTGTTATATTATGGGTAGCCCGGTGCACTAAGCTCCCGCTATGCGCGGTGCACTAAGCTCCCGCTATACAATTATATTATATACTATAAAAATGAAAAAGTGCCAAAGTTTCCTATATTTTCTACAGGCGTAAAAATCTCTAACAGGATTACAAGACTCTTACAAAGACGTAGGCCTAAAGTAATCGTAGTAAAACTCAATCCTTTTTGTTTGATAAGGTAATAGTACTAAAACTAATCCTAACTAATTGGTATCGCCGACATAAAAAACATTCCTTCAATTTATATAAAGACAAATGAAATTTAGGGAAATTTGACATAATAGCACAAAACAACCACGCATAACCAAAACTTTCAAAGTCAAAAACGTTATTCAGAACTTTTGGAAAGATATAAAATGTTTTTTGTGAAAAATTCCTTTTCCAAATAAATTCTTCTAGCAACATGATTCTATTGCCAAATCGCAAAATTAGCCTAGATAAATAATACATATGTCATCTGAAATGCCTATTAATGGTGAAGCACATTGACCTCTAATCTGGAAATAACACTAAACCGTCTGAGTCATGACCATGTCATACACAAACTTCCTCAACCATCTGATAATGGCAAATCAACCCCCCAATACCCCTCTGAAATGCCTATTAATGGTGAAGCACATTGACCTCTAATCTGGAAATAACACTAAACCTTCTGAGTCATGACCATGTCATACACAAGCTTCCTTGACCATCTGATT